GTTACTCATTGGAGCTCCCAAGAGATGCACAACGGCCACGTGACAGTTCAGCGATTCGGATCCCAACGCGAATTCACAAATACATTATTTCCACCTCTCGTCTTTACAGTCTAGGTGGCATTCCCACCCCCCCCCCCCCCCCCCACAGTCCACTCTGCATTGCTCCTCGTTTGGCACCTTCGTTTGCGCAGTTCAGTTTACTCCGTGAGCCTAAACATCACTCTGTTATGCCTCGACTGTTGCGGATGAAGGCCTCCCCAGGCCATGTCGGCCATTGGGGGTTGTTTGACCATACTTCACCATGCTGGCCAGTGTGGATTGTTGAAAGGGAAGCTCAGGACAGGGTCGCCGATGTTAGCTGTGGTTGGTGAATTGAACTCAAGTTGTGCGGTGTAGTTCTCCAACCACTGCACCAACCCTTCCTCCCAACAACATATCACGTTGGCATTCCCGAATTGTTGACAACTGATTCTTAAGTACACGGTGTGTGTGTGTGTGTTATTTTTTGAGATTTTCAGGCTCCTCTCGTCAGGTGCTTGGTTCGCGAGGAAAGACGACATGACAATGATGTGGAGGGAGACCAGGCGGATCTGACAGTCGTCGCAAGACCGCGCCCGCGGCGAGCAGGACGGGTGGCAAAATGTGGCATCTGCGGTGGTGAGGGAAGTGACTTCTCGTAGCCTTATGTTCCCACACCTTCGTAACCCAGATGCCAATTAAAAGTCTCAACAATTATTGTTTTTTTATTATTCTAATTAATAACTTTCTCCCTTACAACATTTTTCTTCTATAAATGTATGATGGGGCATTTCTTTCCCAACCCTCTGTGTGCAGTTCTTTCTGGGTCTAAAGACGTCCTTGTCAATTGTCCCTGAATGCCGTTGCCGTGTTCTGATCTTCTGATGCGTGTTTCACACTCGGCCTCGCGTGTGCCGAGGCAGTGATTCCTCCTCCCCTCGCACCCTCTCCTCATCCGTTCCTTTTTTTAGTACGTACGCTTAAAAAGACTTAAGAATAATGATTGAACGGTTTTGCCAGCTTTCCTCTCCGCCTCCTCGTGTCAACTCCCCACATCCTTCCCTTATTGAGTACGTCTCGATATGCATTCATCCCTGGCTCTACACATCTGCGACCACAATGCCGTCTGTGCTCCAAACCCCCTTATCTCAACTCGTCAGCTCCGAACAAACTCCCCCCCCCACTTCCCCTCTCTATCTCTCCTCTCCCCTCCACACTCGACCTCGCCTCCGCCCCCTCAATCCCTCAATCCCTCAATCGGACCATTCCGTTACATCTCCCCCGTCACCCGCCATTCTTCAAATCCAACCGGGGACAGCAGCCCAGCAGTACATAACAACCTCAACCACACTCACCCACCCACACGCCCTCACCCACCCTCACCCACACTCACCCTCACCCACCCTCACCCACCCTCACCCACCCTCACCCACCCTCACCCACCCTCACCCACCCACACCCTCCCACCCTCACCCACACTCACCCACCCTCACCCTCACTCACCCTCACCCACACTCACCCTCATCCACCATCACACCCTCACCCACACTCAATCACACTCACCCACCCTCACCCACACACCCTCACCCACACTCACCCACCCACCCTCACCCACACTCACCCACACTCACCCTCACCCACCCTCACCCACCCTCACCCTCACCCACCCTCACCCACCCTCACCCACCCACCCTCACCCACCCTCACCCACCCACACACCCACCCACCCTCACCCACACTTACCCACCCTCACCCACCCTCACCCACACACCCTCACTCACACACCCTCACCCACACTCACCCTCACCCACCCTCACCCACCCATCCTCACCCACACTCACCCACACTCACCCACCCTCATCCTCACCCACCCTCACCCACCCACACACCCTCACCCACACTCACCCTCACCCACTCACCCACACACCCTCACCCACACTCACCCACCCTCACCCACCCTCAACCACCCTCACCCACACTCACCCTCACCCACACTCACCCACCCTCACCCACCCACACACCCTCACCCACACTCACCCTCACCCACCCACCCTCACCCACACTCACCCACCCACACCCACCCTCACCCACACTCACCCACCCACCCTCACCCACCCTCACACACCCTCACCCACCCTCACCCACACTCACCCACCCACACACCCTCACCCACACTCACCCACCCACACTCACCCACCCACCCTCACTCACACTCACCCACCCTCACCCACCCTCATCCACCCTCACCCACCCACACACCCTCACCCACACTCACCCACCCACACTCACCCACCCACCCTCACTCACACTCACCCACCCTCACCCACCCTCATCCACCCTCACCCACCCACACACGCTCACCCACACACCCTCACCCACACTCACCCACCCTCACCCACACTCACCCACCCTAACCCACCCACACACCCTCACCCACCCTCACCCTCACCCACCCACACTCACCCACCCTCACCCACCCATCCTCACCCACACTCACCCACACTCACCCACCCTCATCCTAACCCACCCTCACCCACCCACACACCCACACTCACCCTCACCCACCCACCCTCACCCACACACCCTCACCAACACTCACCCTCACCCACCCTCACCCACCCTCACCCACCCACACACCCTCACCCACACTCACCCTCACCCACCCACCCTCACCCACACTCGCCCTCACCCACTCCTCACTCACCCTCACCCACCCTCACCCACCCACCCTCACCCACCCTCACCCATCCACACCCACCCTCACCCACCCTCACCCACACTCACCCACACTCACCCACCCACACCCACCCTCACCCACACTCACCCACCCACCCTCACCCACCCTCACCCACCCTCACCCACACTCACCCACCCTCGCTCACACTCACCCACCCTCACCCACCCTCATCCACCCTCACCCACCCACACACCCTCACCCACACTCACCCACCCTCACCCACACTCACCCACCCTCATCCACCCTCACCCACCCACACACCCTCACCCACACTCACCCACCCACACTCACCCACACTCACCCACCCACCCTCACCCACCCTCACCCACACTCACCCACCCACCCTCACTCACACTCACCCACCCTCACCCACCCTCATCCACCCTCACCCACTCACACACCCTCACCCACACTCACCCACCCTCACCCACACTCACCCACCCACACACCCTCACCCACCCTCACCCACCCTCACCCACCCACCCTCAATCACACTCCCCCACCCACCCTCACCCACACTCACCCACCCTCACCCACACTCACCCACCCACCCTCACCCACCCTCACCCACCCTCACCCACCCTCACCCACCCACCCTCCCCCACCATCACCCACCCTCACCCACACTCACCTACCCTCACCCACCCTCACCCACCCACCCTCAATCACACTCACCCACCCACCCTCACCCACCCTCACCCACCCTCACCCACCCTCACCCACCCACCCTCACCCACACTCACCCACCCTCACCCACCCTCACCCACACTCACCCACCCACCCTCACCCACACTCACCCACCCACCCTCATCCACCCACCCTCACCCACACTCACCCACCCTCACCCACCCACCCTCACCCACACTCACCCACCCACCCTCACCCACCCTCACCCACCCTCACCCACACTCACCTACCCTCACCCACCCACCCTCAATCACACTCACCCACCCACCCTCACCCACCCTCATCCACCCACCCTCACCCACCCTCACCCACCCTCATCCACACTCACCCACCCACCCTCACCCACCCTCACCCACCCTCACCCACACTCACCCACCCACCCTCACCCACCCTCACCCACCCTCACCCACACTCACCTACCCTCACCCACCCACCCTCAATCACACTCACCCACCCACCCTCACCCACCCTCACCCACCCTCATCCACCCACCCTCACCCACACTCACCCACCCACCCTCACCCACCCTCACCCACACTCACCTACCCTCACCCACCCTCACCCACACTCACCCACCCACCTTCACCCACCCTCACCCACACTCACCCACACTCACCCACCCACCCTCACCTACACTCACCCACCCTCACCCACCCACCCTCACCCACACTCACCCACCCACCCTCACTCACACTCACCCACCCTCATCCACACTCACCCACACTCACCCACACTCACCCACCCACCCTCACCCACCCTCACCCACCCTCACCCACCCACACTCACCCACACTCACCCACACTCACTCACCCACCCTCACCCACCCTCACCAACACTCACCCACCCACCCACCCTCACCCACACTCACCCACCCTCACCCACCCTCACCCACACTCACCTACCCTCACCCACCCTCACCCACCCACCCTCAATCACACTCACCCACCCACCCTCACCCACCCTCACCCACCCACCCTCACACTCACCTACCCTCACCCACCCTCACCCACCCTCACCCACACTCACCCACCCACCCTCACCCACCCTCATCCACACTCACCCACACTCACCCACCCACCCTCACCTACACTCACCCACCCTCACCCACCCACCCTCACCCACACTCACCCACCCACCCTCACTCACACTCACCCACCCTCACCCACCCTCATCCACACTCACCCACACTCACCCACCCTCACCCACCCTCACCCACACTCACCCACCCTCACCCACACTCACCCTGCCACCCTCACCCACCCTCACCCACCCTCACCCACACTCAAACGCGACCCTTCTGCTCCCCTCCATCTCTCCAGCACCGCTCACCGTCTCGACACCAAAACCCCCCCTCCCGTCTCCCTCCCTGACCACGGCGCAAGCCGCGGCCACGTGGACCACCCCGCACGAGCGTGCGCAGCCCTCGTCCCTCCGTGCTTGCGTGTGCGGCTGGAGTGGGTGGTGGGTGCCGTGGAGGGAGGGAGGGGAGTTGGTGGTGGTTAGTGGTGGTGGTGGTTGGTGGTGGTGGTGGTGGGAGGTGTCGGCGCGAGGATGGGAGGGTGCGTGTAGCCGAGAGGAGCCCCGAGGCTGAGGCAGTAGCAGCAGCAGTAGCCGCTCGCCCTGCGCGCTCCGCACACGCTGCGCATGAGCTGCCGCACAGCGCTGCGAACATGAGCCAGGGCATCTGGAAGCTGTACAAAAGCAAGTCCATGAAAACGCTCGTACCTGACAGAGAGGACGACGCTCGGCTCTCGACGTGCAAGGTCAGTTCCACTCGCCCCCCCCCAACCCCCGTAAGGCTCCCACCCCGACCCCTCTCCTGTCCATTCTGCCCGTCGCTCTTGCCGTAAATTTCACACAAAGCGTTGCGGGGGGGGGGGGGTGTTGTTGCTCCTTCATTCTTTCCACAATTCATGGCCTCAAGTGGGAATCGGCACCGTCGGCATGACTAAGACGATTAGACGGGAGGAATTTTAATGCCGAGGCGATAATGCTTTAATTTCGCCAGCCTCTTTGTTCCGCTCGTAAGATCGTCCGCAGATGTATTTCTCAAACCACCGCGGCGCTGGCTGCTCCGATGAATGTGGCCGGCGCGCGGTTGAGGTACACATTCGAGTGATCTACGACGGTGGTGACGACGACGATGATGATGATGACTGCCCCCCTGGCTCTCATCTGGCGCTCGCCGTCATTATTCCTCCTCCTGCACTCCGCGACTCCCCCGTTATTCCGAGCGACCTCACCTTGACCCGCTCTGCCAGACCCCCGTACGCACTCCTCACTTGACAGAGAAGGTGTTCTTCCATTCTGTTGAATTGTTCTGCCTTTATTTCTGAGCCCGTAATGCCCCCTCCCCTCCCCCCTCCATTGTAGTCAATGGATGTTCCTTAGCCGTACGCAAACGCTGAGTATTCATGCGTGGGTTTGCTCTTCCTCTAACGGTGTGATTTTTCTGCTAAAGTTTTGATTCATGTGGGGGTAGCCGACCTTTTGCGTGCGTCCGTGTGGAGATAATTTGGGATAGGATCTCGCTTCTGAACGGTAAACAATGTGCACGAAATGCTGCTGAGATCTTCCTTGCGTTGGTAAACAATGGTGGCCGATGCTGCTGAGATTAAGTTAGAAGTGGTGAATATATGAAAGAAATGAAAGCAGAGTAATAATTCTAAGAAAAAACACAAAGCACCACAGCACAAGTGATTAGAGTTAAGCACGAGGTTTTAAATCCATGGTACCAGCGCCGTGGCAACGATATCGGAGTTGGCTCTCCATGGTCAATTGAATGAATGAAGCAATGAATTACCAACAGCACCCTGAGAAAATCGTACATCAAGGATGCACGGCAGCAGATAAGCCGTCTCTGGGAGGTAACTCCAGCGGCCTTTGATGGATGAGCAAATGCCCGCAACGACACAAAAATCGGTAGCTTACTACGCGAAGATTATTCAAGTAATTAGTTCAGTCGTTAGGAGTGTGTGTGTGTGGCTCGGAAGGCTGACAAATATCTGTATTGAAGGGAAGCGTTGACTTGACGGAAGCTCGCGGTCAAACACGGAGAGACGGAGAGACGGCGATCCTGCGACGGAGAGGGAGGATGAGCAAAGCGGCTGTTCAATCAGTTCGGCAAGAGTGCTCTCGGTGTTTGGAACCTCACATAGGACGAGGAGGAGGTCTGTGTTCTGGAAGAGTGCTTTCATTGGATTGGATATGTCCTTAGAATCCCCAGATGGGAGGACTGCCGAGGTCAAGCTACCCATCAGTTGGCGAACGTTAAGGAAGGCACGGGGGTGGGGAGAGAGGGAGGGGGGGCGCACAACCAATACGGTAGCCGGCGGTGGCGATTGCCGAAATGCCTCGGTGAGAATGGGGCGATAGCTCAGAGCAACCTCAAGAGTGCCGCGTGTCGCCCGCTACGAGGCACACATCAGAAACGTGGACGACGTTTTAGAAAATGGAACGCGAGAGGAAAAAGGGCACGAGGAGGCATGGAGAGGCGCAGAGCTTGGAATTGAGAAACGCACACATTAAACAACATGCGCAGGTTACAGGCATCAATGTGCCCACTTGACAGCAGTCTGTTGGGCAGGGCACGTCACGGGATCGTGGCTGGGGGTAGAGGCTTACCGGCAGTGGTCGCCGAGGAAAGGAAGAGATGTGAGAGGACATTCAACACAGAGATGGAGCGATGAACTCGGCTCATGTGCCGGCACAGGGCGGATTGCTGCGTCACAATACAGCGTGAGATGGAGATGGCTTTGGGGGGAGACCTTAACCCAGAAGTGGATTGACCGTGGCTGATGTTGACGATAGCCTCAACACAGCACATCCTTTGAGAGGGTATTTTTGCTCACCTCAAGTGGCCTATGCGGAGGGCTTCATGGTCAGCCGAGTCTGTCAGCAACCGTCGCACCACATCGAGCAAAACTCTCGCTCCGTGGCGACGAGCAGGCGCGTGCCATACTAGTCCAGTCTAGCGGCGAGCCAGAAGATGTCCGGCGATAAACGAAAGTCTCGCATGCACCGACCGGTAGCTAACGCTCTGCCGGATAACCCCCCGCTCCCCGCCCCTTTGCGTTGCAGCCTAAAGACGGACGTCTCCTGGAGGACGTCTCCACGTCCGTGTCCCAGTTCGCCACGAAGGTGACGCGCACAGCCTGCACCGCGCTCCTCGCTCGCTCGCTCACCGTGGCCATACCGCACGCCGCACACCCGGTCGGTAGGACGGTGGGTGGTGGGGGGGGCACTTTCCCAATTCAAACGCACACCGCCAAGGTGGCTTGCGAGAAGTTCTTGAGTGGGTGCACGGTTGTCACGCGAATTTAGGACGGACGTCGTTGGGTGCTCGCTCGTCTCCGTTGGTGTGTGCGCGCGTGCGCGACTTGATTTCGTTGAATTCCATCTCTGGGAATAAAATATAGATTCATTATATCGGTTTGATTTGAGATACGAAGAACAATTTTTTTACGCATTTAGCTCGTCGCACTACGAAACCCAGTGACCTGAGTTCGATTCCCGGCCATGGCTAACGTCGGTGGCGAATGTCGGATCCCCAGTCCTGGATCTGGCGTGGCGTGTAAACATCAGGCAAGGCGGCCGGAGTGGTGCCGGCCACACCACCACCCCCCTCTTCCGTCGCGCTGTGTCCAACGTGGTCGCTCGCTAACGTCACTTGACTCAACAGTCCGTTGAAGGCCATACGGGGAGATATTTGTTTGTTTGTTTATCCAGTCTATCGTTTTCTAACCGGATCATTGCGTTTCATTCGGACCTCCAGTGCAATGCCCGAGACGACCGAGTGTCTGTAAAAATAGACCTGATGAAGGAATAATCACGATTATGAAACACGTATCATTGTCACGAACACGGGTAAAACGGGGAGGAACAGAGGCCTCGCATTCTAAATTCTCATAATTTGACTGAAGAAATTGTCCCCAGCAAATTATGTATGAAATGTCATGCCATGCCACCAACCCAGATTCTCACAACACGGCCCCTTGTCGAGCACTCGATGGGCCTGTTGGTTCAATGGGGGCCCTAAACATAAATTATTTTCAGGGGAGAGTGATGCCCTAGCACATTATAATATCCTAGCGAGATAACAGAAGAGATATAGACGAGAGGTTGAGATGTAGTGTGATAAGGAGCATACAGACAAACGTAAAGATGCAGCGAGATGAGCGAAGAGAGAGATTCGGGCGAGATCGAGATTGTCGAGATCGATTGGATATTTGTGTTAATGTTAATTACACATTCAAGAAACTAAACAAATAAGCGGACAATTCACCTCCTTCACACGCCTGCCCTTCTCCACTTAAAAAAAACATGTTGTTTTTACACATCTCACACCTCCGATGAACACGGCTGGCTACGTACGGTGCGAAAGAAGTTCAACATCCATAGACGAGTACGTCACGTCTCGTGAGCCGCGTGGCCTTCTGGGAGTGCACAATTTCTGCCGCGTTGGCTCCACACACAGAAACAAGCAAAACTCCGAGAATTCGTGCTTTGTGGTTTCTTTTGGATACTTTTTCATGAATCAGACACCCCCCCCACATTTGAGCTACTTGGGGCTCTGAATTTTTGCTCGACTCGCTTTCGCCGAGAACCGCCACTCCGCACGCCAAAACATTTGCATGGAAGGGACTGTCAGTAAAATGCACGTTAAAACACCTTCCCCCCGCCCGCCACCTCTCCTCGTTAACAATACGGTATTCACGTGGAATGTAAGCTTGAAGGCGGTGAGTGGGGGAAAATCATTGTGTAAACAACGCCCTTTGCGAGTGTTTTTAACCATCGCAGTTCTGCGGGCAGTCTGCGAGCACGGAGCGTTTCGTTAGGGACCGTCCATAAATGACGTCACGCACCTGGGGGGGGGGGGGGTCAGACATTTGTGACAATGTGTGACGAGGGGGTTGAGATATGTGACGTCACATCAAAATGCGCAACTTTAAATAAATATAGACAACACGTTCTATTTAATGAAATATACTTTTTGATAAATATTTTCTCCTACAACATCAGAGTGCAGCGCCACATTAAATGCGCACTACAGTGACAATAGTTTAAAGCGATTCTAAGCATGTTTTATTTTTTTGGTGGGGGGGGGGCAGAGCTTTGTGACGTCATATTTGAGGGGGGTCTGACTTTTTGTGACGCCGTGTGACGAGGGGGGGGGGGAGTCAAAAATCGTCCAAAATCGCGTGACGTCATTTATGGACGGCCCCTTATTAGCCGTGGCATCTTATTCTCTGCAGTGACGCTGAAGGCATTTGCGAAGGAGGAAGAGTAACGATGAAGTAGTCATATTAAAACAGCTTCAAAGCAAATGCGACTCCGTTTAACAAATGGCAACATGTTTATGGACCGTATATTGAACCGGAGGGAACGGTGCCTCACCGGTTAGCGCACTGCTCTACAACCCCGCTGACCTGAGTTTAACTCCTGGCCACGGCTAACGTCAGTGGCGAGTGATGTCTGACCCGATCCTGGCCCCTTCACCCAACCCGCACTGACCAGTGTGGTGAAGTATGGTCAAACAAACTCTTAACCGACCGACGTGGTGTGGGAGGTCTGCATCCAGCAGTGGATTGACAAAGGCATGGCAATTGTTTGCGATTAATTCGATGAAGGCCGCTTCTGTTGCGATCGAAACGTCGTGGGTTTTTTGCTTTTATTTATTCTTAATTTATTTTTAATTTAGTTGTATTTTTAACTTCTATCTACGTGACTTTACCGAAAGAACCAAGACTATGTATTAATAGTTGACCACATCCGACGTGAGGTTATTGTGCTACGCAATTCTGAATGCCGAGCGTGTGTTTTTTTTTGTGCGTGTGTGTTCGCGATACAATTACATTTCCTGTATTTGTTGCCTTTTCTGACCCAAGCCTCCTAAACAAAAGCGAGGCCCTGTGGTCACTCACGGGGCCCTTTCACGATCCCTAAACAAACACCGCCAAAACGAATCGAGCGCATTTTCAAATGCGAGGCATTTCAAATAATATCTGCGTTTCAGAAGTCATTGATTGACATTTGCAAAACGTCTAATGCGTGACTGTAAACTAAAAGACGAGATGTATAGATATTGTTTTTACTCATTTGTTGTCGACCTCTAGCTCTGTCGATGTTGCTGCTACCTCCAGACATCAACAAGCAGCATATTCTTTGCTCTGTGCTCAGGGAGTTGCACCGCATTGTGAAGGGAAGCTGGCAGACTGGCGGACTGGGCTGTCTGTGTGGCTGACTCGCTCATTAGCTGGCAATGTGTGGCTATCTGACCTATAGCTGACTGTCAGTGTCTGTGTCCTATAGCTGACTGTCAGTGTGTCTGTGTCCTATAGCTGACTGTCAGTGTGTCCGTGTGTCCTATAGCTGACTGTCTGTGTGTCTGTGTGTCCTATAGCTGACTGTCTGTGTGTCTGTGTGTCCTATAGCTGACTGTCTGTGTGTCCTATAGCTGACTGTCTGTGTGTCTGTGTGTCCTATAGCTGACTGTCTGTGTGTCTGTGTGTCCTATAGCTGACTGTCAGTGTGTCTGCCTGTCCTATAGCTGACTGGCAGTATGTCTGCATGTCCTATAGCTGACTGTGTGTGTGTCTATGTGTCCTATAGCTGACTGTCTGTGTGTCTGCGTCCTATAGCTGACTGTCAGTGTGTCTGCCTGTCCTATAGCTGACTGTCAGTGTGTCTGCCAGTCCTATAGCTGACTGTCTGTGTGTCTGCCTGTCCTATAGCTTACTGTCAGTGTGTCTGTGTCCTATAGCTGACTGTCACTGTGTCTGTGTCATATATCTGACTGTCAGTGTGTCTGTGTGTCCTATAGCTGACTGTCAGTGTGTCTGTGTCCTATAGCTGACTGTCACTGTGTCTGTGTCATATATCTGACTGTCAGTGTATCTGTGTGTCCTATAGCTGACTGTCAGTGTGTCTGTGTGTCCTATAGCTGACTCTCTGTGTGTCTATGTGTCCTATAGCTGACTGTCTTTGTGTCTGTGTGTCCTATAGCTGACTGTCTGTGTGTCTGTGTATCCTATAGCTGACTGTCAGTGTGTCTGCCTGTCCTATAGCTGACTGTCAGTGTGTCTGCCTGTCCTATAGCTGACTGTCTGTGTGTCTATGTGTCCTATAGCTGACTGTCTGTGTGTCTGCGTCCTATAGCTGACTGTCAGTGTGTCTGCCTGTCCTATAGCTGACTCAGTGTGTATGCCTGTCCTATAGCTGACTGTCTGTGTGTCTGCCTGTCCTATAGCTGACTGTCTGTGTGTCTGTGTCCTATAGCTGACTGTCTGTGTGTCTGTGTGTCCTATAGCTGACTGTCAGTGTGTCTGCGTCCTATAGCTGACTGTCAGTGTGTCTGCCTGTCCTATAGCTGACTCAGTGTGTCTGCCTGTCCTATAGCTGACTGTCTGTGTGTCTGTGTCCTATAGCTGACTGTCAGTGTGTCTGCCTTTCCTATAGCTGACTGTCAGTGTGTCTGTGTCCTATAGCTGACTGTCACTGTGTCTGTGTCATATATCTGACTGTCAGTGTGTCTGTGTTTCCTATAGCTGACTGTGTGTCTGCCTGTCCTATAACTGACTGTCAGTGTGTCTGCCTGTCCTATAGCTGACTGTCAGTGTGTCTGTGTGTCCTATAGCTGACTGTCAGTGTGTCTGTGTCCTATAGCTGACTGTCAGTGTGTCTGCCTGTCCTATAGCTGACTGTCAGTGTGTCTGTGTGTCCCAAAGCTGACTGTCAGTGTGTCTGTGTGTCCTATAGCTGACTGTCAGTGTGTCTGTGTGTCCTATAGCTGACTGTCAGTGTGTCTGTGTCCTATAGCTGACTGTCAGTGTGTCTGCCTGTCCTATAGCTGACTGTCAGTGTGTCTGTGTCCTATAGCTGACTGTCAGTATGTCTGTGTCCTAAAGCTGTCTGTCAGTGTGTCTGCCTGTCCTATAGCTGACTGTCAGTGTGTCTGCCTGTCCTATAGCTGACTGTCAGTGTGTCTGCCTGTCCTATAGCTGACTGTCAGTGTGTCTGCCTGTCCTATAGCTGACTGTGTGTCTGCCTGTCCTATAGCTGACTGTCAGTATGTCTACCTGTCCTATAGCTGACTGTCTGTGTGTCTATGTGTCCTATAGCTGACTGTCTGTGTGTCTGCGTCCTATAGCTGACTGTCAGTGTGTCTGCCTGTCCTATAGCTGACTGTCAGTGTGTCTGCCTGTCCTATAGCT